CGGTTTAACTCAAATAAATTTATTTTTTGAATTATAGTCATACCGTGTTAACCATCGTATCGGTTGGTTCTTTGTGAATTTGCAATACAAAGTCCTCTTCATCTATAGGTCCAAAAACGATCTACAACAAAAAAAGTTTTAAATAAATTCATGGCAAACAAATATCTTTTTTTTATAGATTCTTCCGGATTCATTCTGAATATCTATTATTCGTACGTTGATCAGTTATATTGTAAGAGAATGGTGTAACACTGTTCGTCGATTAACGTCCAAGCTGATGGTGTATGATATCGGAAAACAATATAGAATCTAATTCATATGATCACCATTGATACCGAAAATAGAACTATAGAATGAACACAATCGTGTCTCTTTCTTTCCATCTAACCAATGTATATTGACAAATCACTGAAATTATTACGATAATGAATGAATCTTTCCCGATATAAGCGAATCGAATCTAAAGTAATTATCGAAACCTATACTATCTTTTCTTACAGACAAGCTATGATGAAAGAAAGAAAGAAAGAAATGAATATATTTAGACTTGGTTCTTATTCTTTATTCTGGAAACTTTCTTTGTAGATCATGCAAAGCAAATTCGATGGCGCGATCTAACTGCCAGTCAAGATAGTAAGCAGCGCGTTCGCCACTTCTCGCACGGTCGCCTGAATTGAGAGATAACTCAGGTGAAGCAGCAGCTAAAATATTATTCACATGTGTGGAGAATACGTCCCGAGGGGTCATGCTGTCTTTTGAGGATGGTTGTGAAGTTGGTGAACGTTTCCGTTTGCCTGGATGAAAGGATTTAGTAAACGATTGATGATGGTTCATGTTGTATCTTGTTGTGCTGGTGGTGATCCTGTTGGTAGTGGTGGAAGTGATGGTTGAGGTTGTGGTGGTATATGTTGCTTTTCCTTCAACAGTTTTTGATTAGCCGTCTTGAGGGTGTGGGTGTGAAACTAGGTTAATTATAACATCCACACCCTTATTAACGTTTGTTTGTAATGCCTTGATATCATTGTTACCAGCATTTTGATAACATTTCATTCATAAATCATTTTTTTTCAACAAATAAACTTGGTTGTTCTTTTAATAATCATAACAGTTGCATTGGTATGAAATATAATTGAGAGAAGATATTGGAAATTATATTCTTATTACTATGTATATTAATCTAGAAATAGACAATAAAATATATGGATATGTGTTATGAATTAAGATTTTAAATCACACAGATACAAGATCATTGAAGAACATTATTTTGAAGAAGAAAAAGATAAGATCATACTCGAATAGTTAACATGTAATCGTTTTAGGTTAACTTTTGTGCATAAAAATTGATTAAAATTAGATTTAATTGTGAGTACGATGGAGATTTTCGCATCAAATATCTTGATACATAGATACATTATAACGATATTTGAATATAGAGCATAATGTATTTAATTTCGTTCCAGTATATGTAATAAATAATGAATGTAAAATTTGACGAAATAGACCCGGCGTATTCAATGGTAAATAATATTTGTTTTACATGATGCATGACAATTAAGAATTGATTCACAACGGTTAACTCTCTCTTAGAAGTATTAGAAACGTGTTTAGTATATGAGTAACAGTACGATTAGAAGTGTATATATTTCAGAATCGAAAAAAAATACTTCACAGAAAAAATGAATAACAAAAATGACTCCATAAATAACAAAAAAAAGGAGCATTTTTCCTCCATCCGATAAAAAAAGAAAAATAAAAGAATAGAAAGAATGTTATCTGTAATAGCATTCTTTCAAGCATCAAAAAGAAAGAAAAATAAAATCATCGCTAACAATAACACCATGTTATTCTGTATTCACTGTAAAAAATATATTTTCAAATTTTTATTCTTAGTTCTGATTGACGAAGTGAGAGTAGTTACCAAATTCGACTTCGAATTTAAATGAAATTTGAACGTAGGTGGGTGTGTGTGAGATAGTTATGATACACTTTTACTTATACCCACACCCTCAAGACAATTATATATGTTTTTGTTTTCATACGTTAGAATAAAGTTCATTTGATTAGTTTCCGAGAATTAGTTTCGTAATACATCTTTATTTAAAAGTCTTATTATATCATTGCTATTTTCTTATAATTTATGCACATAGTATAGGGAACAACGTTAGATCATACCTATAAGATGAGCCATACTCTAAGCGCAATACTACATTTTTACACAACATATCGACAGTAGAAAACAAAATTCTCTCTTCTACTCTAACTTTACTGATTTAGTCGTAATATTAATCATAATGGAATAACTACTCGATCGAATTAAAATGTAATATAGAGGTCAACGAGTATTTGAACGAATGATTTTAATTTACATAAATATTCATTCAATAAATGATTCGAATTTAAATGTTAATATATTATATAGTTACGAATATTAATCATGAATGCAAGCTGTTGCTTCAATGTTTCCTTTTCTTGCTTATGTAAATAATGTAAATTCTAAAGTAAAACTAAATACGAGCATAACTACAATAAATATAATACTGGTACTATAAAATATATGGGTAACAATCTTTTATTCAAATTTAATCTAATACTAACATTGATTCAATTGATACATATACAGGTATAAGAACGAAAATCATAAAAAAAATCATGTATTGTAATTACAATAAATTCTCATTTAAAAAAGTTTCTTCGTCGTAATCAATCTTTCGCCACTGTATGACTTCCAAAACGCCTTGTGCTCTTTTCTTCATTCTAAGTCCGTGAGTTGATGGACAGTTATCTCCCATATATCCATTACAAGTATGATTGCCATGTTTTCGTCGATTGGCATACTTTTTCGGACAACATCCACAACTTGCACATCTGCGCGCAAGACCATTATTCGAATATCCCCATTTACGCCAATGTCGAGAGTCTGGATGTTTCTCTCGACGTTGTTGTTTAAAAGCAATACATGTATTGTAGCGCTGTGAACGAGCTCGAGATTTAACTTGATCAACAAGAGTATTAGTATCGAAGTCGTTTGGCATGAACAGATGCTTTAAGAAAAACAAATGAAAAATATTATTTGATTTAAATAGAATATTCTTATCACTTACTTTTCTTTAGATATTTGTAGAAATGAAAAAACTAACACACAGGTCTCCTTTAAATATCCTCTGATTATCAAATAACATGCAATTACTCATCGATATTCATGACACATAAAAGAGAACAGAAAAGAATGCAAAGCTGAAGTTATTTTTTTTTCTTTACTCTGTTCTTCATTCGTTTTACGCAAGTCTGATGCAATAACTTTACGCCATGTGTCAATGTTATTTCGCTGTTACATTCAATAAAGTTAAAATCATAAGTTTATGAGTTAATTTAATATTTTCAAATAATTTAAAGTAATGAACGAAGAGAAACCTCATATCAGTATTATTATCATTGGACGTGTCGATTCAGGCAAATCAATCTTGACTGAACGATTGCTTTACGAGTGTGGCAATATAAATGAACAAGTAAGTGATCTATTTAGGAAAAAAAAGAAGCGAACGAGATCGAAATTATATATATTTTTATTCAATAGAAAGAACGTCTTGCATTCCAGTGGAATTATTGGCCAAAAAGTTTAAGAACTTCATGGAATCGCGACATCATAGTTGATGCTTCGTTACAAAAATGTGAGACCATCAAATACAGAGTTACACTCATCGATACTCCTGGACATCGTGATTTCATCAAGAATCTCATCAGTAAGATTTCGCAAGTAAGCTACTGTTTCGTTCTATGTACATAGAAAAAATATTTACTAATGACACTGGTGAGAATCATTTTCTAGGTTGATAGCGCCATTTTAGTTGTAGCTGCCACATATGGTGAGTTCGAAAGTGGTATTAGAAAAGGTGGTCAAACACGTGAACACATTCTATTGGCATATACGTTTGGTATTACGCAATTGATTGTTGCTGTCAACAAAATGGATACTATAGAGTCGACTGACTCAGAAAGACGCTTTAATGAAATCAAAAGTGAAGTATCCAACTTTGCTAAAAGGCTTGGTTATCAACCACAACGCATTATTTTTGTACCTATTTCGAGCTGGAATGGTGATAACATAAGCGAAGTGTCGAATAAAATGTCTTGGTTTGAAAATTGGACAATTCAACGTAAAGAAAATCATCACACTGGCAAGACTCTTGTAGACGCCATTAATGCAATCATTCCCTCTATGCAATTTATTAATAAACCACTCCGTATTCCATTACAAGCTGTTTATAAAATAAATGGTGTCGGAACAGTAGCTATCGGTCGAGTGGAAACAGGTGTATTGAAAACAAACATGATTGTCAGCTTTGCACCATCAACTACAATGACTGAAGTTAATTCAATTGAAATGTATCATAAAACTCTCAAAGGTAAATGTATTTTTCTGCATTTGATCCACAATGTTGGATATATTTGTAGAAGCTCTACCAGGAGATATCGTTGGTTTTAATCTCAAAGGCATTAGTGCCCATGAACTACGGCGCGGTTTTGTTTGTTCAGATCCGGAAAACAATCCAGTTCTTGTGGCCTCAAGTTTTATTGCACAGGTGAATATTTTTTAATAATTATCTTTTGCTTTTCATCTACATTGCGAGATAAACATACTTGTAGTCTTTCATTATATTTTCCTTTTTAGATTATAGTTATTGACCATCTAAATGAAATTAAGCAAGGTTATACTCCTATATTTTACTGTCATACAGCGCATATTCCTTGTCAATTTGCTGAATTAATCGAAAAATATGATCGAAGAACAGGTTCAACGATCGAAAAAAATCCAAAATCTATTAAACTAGGTGATGCTGCTTTTGTTAAGATCATCCCGATGAAGCCAATTTGTGTCGAAAAGTTTGTTGATTATCCATCGTTAGGTCGTTTTGCCATTCGTGATATAAAATTGACAATAGCAGTTGGTATCATTAAAGATGTGACACATATATCAACCAATCTATAAACATAAAATTCTAATGCTATTTTGTAATCATGACTGAATATTTTCTATATTGAATTTAAATTAGAAGAAACCATTTTTTTGTTTATCGATATTCTTGTAAATAGTTATCTACCAATTCACTGACTAAAATAAATATTTGTGATCACTTTTACTGATTTAGTGTGCGAACAGATGACGATAAAGAAGGAGTAGATTCTACGAAGCACGTTGCTATTTTAAAATTTATACCTTGCAGCTATGAGAAATCAATCTGATACAATATCCTTACGTAATTCAATTCCTCTAACGGATGTCCTTCTTATTCCATTCTGTTCAGTTATATAAAGATTTGCTATTTTAGTAATATCATGTTGACTAGACAAAAAAAATGAAGTGTCTTCAGCGCCTTTCGAGATTATAAATATTTCGTTATTCAATTGAAAAAAGTAAATCATATATACAAATGATTGTAACGTACATCATTCGACCAATAGAATTAATTTTTCATTCTGACTGACTATAATTTTCGTAAAACTAATTAAATTATCGTGTTCAAAAGTTACCGATATGAATAGTCACTCTATTCACAATCTTATAATGGTAAAGATTCTTTTATTACATCGAGTTTACAAGTACGTTTATAAAGAATACATACTTCAATTGTTGACTGGTCATATCTGTATGAAGTCACTGGTTTATTTTCAAGCACAATAAAATCGTATGTCAACACTTTATCCCTTTGTATTAAAATTTTTATTTTGTTTATAAACGTTATTCTTCCTTGAATGAATATGCAAATTGCGGAAGAGAATGAACCAGATGTATATCATTTCATGCATGTTATCTTTTTTTCTTGCGTTTCTCTTCTTCTTTTTTTTCTGTTCTGTTTCTATAATATCGCATTTCAATAGAACGATGCTAGTCAAATATAACCTTGTCATTGTTTGAATTGATTTCTATTACAACGCGACTTTTTTTTTCTCTTCACTATGCGCTGTAAACTAAACTGTCGCAACGATTCAATCATTTTCTCGTTCTCTTATATTTCTATTTTTACGGTCGTGTAACAACTTGCCAGTATCGTTAAAAGTAAAGAAAAAAGACTATTAATTATGACATAATAGCAATACAATTGGCAAAATATGTTATATATTATTCACACATTAATAAATGAGCAATGGTGATACAATAGGACTATATGACATGTATATGTATTTATATTCAGTACTTTTACTTCATGACTCGACTGAATAATTGTAACTGATAGATGGCAACCTATACAACGAATTCGACTCAAATTACCGAGGGAGCTTCACTCTCGCAATTCTTCACTACACTCGTCGTGTCTGCTACTGTCGCTATTATCGAAATTACAATATTCGTCATTATTAGAAAAAAATTCAAACGTATCTATGAACCAAAAACATATCTTGGAGATGAAAATCGACGAGTTGAACCTTTGCCAAGTACATGTTGTGGTTGGTTATCCACTTTACTCAAAATGCCGCAGGAAGATTTGATTCGTACATCGGGTCTCGATGCTTACTTTTTCGCTCGTTACCTCTACATGCATGCCTTCTTTTTTTTAAGTTCGTTCGTTCTTGTAGCACTTATTCTATTACCTGTCTATATCGTTGATGGAAAAGGTGCATCTTACGGTAAAACAGGACTTGACATACTAACTTTTGGTAATATTCAACCACGTTATTCTTCTCGTTACGCAGCTCCTTTGGTACTTGCTTATATTTTCATCGGCGCATATCTCTACTTCCTCTACGCAGAGATGAAAATTTTTGTCGGAAAACGTCAAACATTTCTCAGAAGTCCTGCGTATCAATCTTGTGCCAGTGCAACAACTATTCTTGTGACTGCAATACCAAAAGAATATATGTCAGAAGCTGTTCTCTTTCGAATCTTCAATAAATTTCCTGGCGGGGTGAAATATATCTGGTTGAATCGGAATCTTAAAGACCTTCCTGATAAAGCGGATGAACGCATGAAACTCGTTGAAAAACTCGAAACGACTGAATGTAAATTGATCAGAGCTGCACTGAAAGACGAGGCAAAGTATCGAAAAACGATAATTGAAGAAGACATTATCGACAAATATTTTTCAGAAACGAAGCGACCTACAATGAGAATGGGATCTATTCCAGTGCTCTCTTCATTATGCTTCGGCGAAAAAGTCGATACACTTACATATTGCAAAGAGACTATTTCTCAGCTGAACACTACAATTGAAAGAGCAAAAACATCACTCGATAATTATGTAGTAATCAATTCTGCATTCATTCAATTCAATAAATCAATAGCAGCTCATATGGCTGTTCAATGTGTTGCAGCTTCAATTCCTTTAGCAATGACACCACGTTACATCGATGTTAAACCGGTAAATATTGTTTGGTCCAATTTAACTCTGACTTATTACGAGAAAAAAGTTAGAGAACTTGCCATATTGGCGGCAACCATTGCTCTCATTATTTTCTGGGCAATTCCCGTTTCTTTCGTAGGTATTCTCTCAAATCTAACGTATCTCACAGATAAGTTAACCTTTCTTCGATTTATTTACAACTTACCAACCGCTCTTCTTGGCTTAATCACTGGTCTTTTACCTACTGTTCTGTTAGCGATTTTAATGGCATTACTTCCTATCGTCCTTAGATTACTTGCAAAAATGTCTGGAATTCCCACTACAGATGCCATTGATTATTATTTGCAAGGATCTTATTTTGTTTTTCAAGTCGTTCATGCTTTTCTGTTCGTTACTATTTCGAGTAGTGTTACAAGCGTTATTACACTTATCATTCAAAATCCTCCTAGCGCCGCAACAATACTTGCTGCCAATATTCCAACGGCGAGCAATTTTTTCTTTAGTTTCCTGGCATTACAAGGATTGAGCATGGCTGCTAATGTTTTGTTGCAAGCTGTCGTGCTTATTTTATTTTATCTGTTGGGGACATTATTCGATAATACACCGCGAAAAAAGTCGAGACGTTACTTCACACTTTCAAGTCTCGAGTGGGGCACGATATTTCCTATTTTTACAAACTTCGTCGTAATTACTCTAGTTTATTCAATTATCGCACCGTTAATTCTTATCATTTCTGGATTCGCATTTGCTTTGTTTTATATTGCCTACATTTATACAATATTTTACGTCGCAGATTTTTCAAACGATATCGGTGGTCTTACGTTTCCAAGAGCAATCTATCAGTCGTTTACTGGTATTTATCTTATGGAAATTCTACTTGCAGCATTATTCTTTCTTGCACAGAATGAATTCGGTGCACAATCGGCTATTCCTGAAGGTGTGTTAATGTGTATATTGATTGTTCTAACAATCGGTGTTCATTTTATGATGAGCTCTAGTTTCGATTCTTTAACACACTATTTACCTATGGATGCAGAAGAATTATCACCACTGGAAGCACCGGTTTCGAGAAAACCGATAATGCAAGTTCTGGATCTTTCTAGAACGAACAATGTCACTAATATAGACAACGCTATTAATGAGTTGTACGACAATACCGTGGGGCATGCCTACATGCATCCGGCATTGCGAGATCCCAAGCCAATCATCTGGATTGCAGAAGATAAGTTGGGTATTGCAACAGAAGAAGTACGACAAACACGAGCTTCCGGTTTGAATATCCTAATGTCAACTAAAGGCGCACGATTCAATAAAAAGATGAAGATTGAGATCAACAGTATGCCTCCCGATCATGTAAAAACATTAGAAAACAACAATGGTATTGATCGGACTCGTTTTTAGAAAATCGAATTACATATTATATATAATATTTTTCATATTAAATAAATTGTTTTTATATTTGATTAACAGAGTCTATCAATAATCTATTCGAAAGAAAAAGTTATAGAAAAGCATATTACAATGACGGTGTAGGTAGATGAATATAAAACCTTCATTCTTCAATAAAGTAATAATTTGAATTTTCTATTATTACGTTGGAAATTATATCAAATTTTCCAGGTCTTAATTTCTGTTTTAACATCACAACAAAGAACAAGCAATGATCGATAGCTAGATATGATGTATATGACATTTTTTTTATAATTTAAAATTTAATTCCACAAGTTCTATTGTTAATGGTTTCTTTTTGTACTTTTTGTTCGTCATATTTTTCAATTACAAGAGAAATCAATGCTCATTAAAAGACATCAATATTTTTTCTATTCTTCAAACATCATTATGATTTATTCCCCGAATGAAAAATAATATTGTTTGTCTTGAATCTGGCTTCCTATTTGTACGTTGTCGAATATTTATACACAATGTTCGATAAGTGTGGGTGTGCATTCGAGAAGAATATAACACTCACACCCGAGACTGCACGAGTTGAATGGACTGAGTATTCAATTGTGAACTGGCACTGATACATACCTGACCTATACTGAACACTATTAGATGATAACATGGAGTATACTAAACAAATACTTCGTGTACAAATGATAAAGTCGAAATTTTATAACGGCATGTATGAAGATGTACTCCTTGTTCGCCATTGGTTTTTTTGTTTCTCAGTTGTTTATCGTCCAGGAGGTAGAAAAAAAGAAATATAATGATTGCCTCGGATGATGATTATCGAACCAAGATGAATGTCTTTGAAAGGCTTGACAATGTTTCAAAATTTTGAGAGAGGTCAAAGTAATTACTATATACATATATGAATGAAATTTTACTTGAAAACAACTAAATAAACCAAAACACACATGCAATCTTTTTTGTATATATTATACAGAAGCTGCAAAAAATATTCTATTGCGATTGATTTTCAATCATTGTATAATAACATAATGTAGCCCTATATTATTTATATGCACCAGGCGTATATAGTAATTATATGAAGACAATATAAAAAGGACAAACAGGTAGCGATACAGTTAATCAGATTTTTTTTCGAGTATACAATATGTCCAATTCTCAGTCGGTGAAAGTGATGCATGCTAAAAGTTCTCGACGGAATAATGATCATAACTATTGTCATTCTGAAAATGTAAGCTCTATCTGATTCAAACTAGAATCTTATTATTAGTTTTCATAGGAATCAAAGAAAACGGCTGGTGCTCGTATCATACGAATCACACGGCTTGGTGATAATCAGTTGCTAGTTGGGAATGGCAGTTCGGTGTATTCATCAACAATACTACCTAGAAGAAGTAAAGAGAAAACAACAATGAAAACATTATCATCATGTATTTCTCAATCTCCACTGCTGTCAAATATTACTAATCAAGATCAACTGCAGCTAAACGACAGTCATTCTCAAGACTCGGACAGCATACAAATACACAAAGATACAAAACTGCAAAAGTCTTCGATTCATCATGATAATGCATCATATGAATCTCGTCTACGTTCTCAAGAGCAAGTATTAATTCCATCAGAATCCAAGCCTGTTAAAGTAATATTCATTTTCACAAGATAAATATCAATTATTTTTCCTCGTAGCTTGGGAAACGTTCTTCGTGGCTTTTATCTCGCATCCATCCATTCCAAGTTAGTGTGACATATTTCACTATAATATATGTATATATGATTTTTTTAAAGGTATTGAGTCCGCTCGACAATTTCAACTCAGTTGGTACTATGATGCAAGGTTCAGGGATTACTATCAATTCTAATAAAATTAGAGAACCTCAAGGTACTCATATACCTCGTTTCGCTAAAGGTACTCGAGATTATAAAGAGAAAAAGGATACACGACGGCGACGTTACTGTCAAAGATTGTTTGCCGGTTGCTGTTCGCCCTGCTGTTGTCTGATAACAGGTCTTCTCTTGGCTCTCCTTCTTGTTGGTCTTGCAATATTAATTGCTTTGTTGATGAACACGAAACAGAATCCTACCACGACAACAAGTATGATTTTCAATATTTTTCATTTGTCGTTAGTTTTGTTATTTTCAAGATGGTTCAACAAAAGCAATGAACACATCGATGACAAATACTAGTACTACAATTACTTCAACGACAAGTACCAGTAGTACAAGTAAATCAACGACAAGTACTAGTAGTACAAGTATATCTGCTGCTAGTACTTCCACAAAGACTAGCACAACCTCAACAACAAAGACTACATTGACAACTACCACGACTACAACAACTACAACCACAAAACCTTGTGAGTTAAGAACTATTAAAACATTCATACAAGATTTGTTTGTTCTTTTCATTTTATTATTAGATTGTACAACACGTATTACATTTGATGATATTTTTAATCAATCAGCAACGTCAGGTATTGTTCCTAATGGGTATAACAATCTCAATTGGACAAATGCCGTATATGTGAATACGTCAACAATGCCACTAAGTGGCTATCTGTATGCTGTTACCTCCGTACCTTATGTGGCTACTAATCCAGGAGGAGTCATGATGCAAATAACATCAGCTAATGGTACATCATTTTCTTTTGACTCAATGACTATTACGGCTGCTTGGCGAAATAATCTTGCTTGGACTATATATGGTTATCGTTCTGGTGTTAATACGCTGGCTGGTAGTTTTGCTTTAAATGTGCTAAATAGAACAACTGCTACATGTGGTAGCTGCACTAATTACGATACACTTTATTTTGGAACATCAGGTGGGACACCATATCCTGGTTTGGCCAATAATGGAACAGAATTTGCTTTTGATGATTTATGTATTTCATTTGACTACTAACAAATATTTTTCATTGTAATTTCATAGACATATATTCCTATATTTATCTCACTAATGAATGATCGTGTTGATTGATACTAATATTCTTTTTTTGATTATAAAATGATAATAAAAGAACTCATCAGACAACATCCTTCGATAAATCTCTATAAATCTTATTTTGAAATAAGCTACTGCTGATCTCAGGCGATATTTACCCGCTTTTGAAGGTGGATGTGAGTGTGGGTACGAGTATTATATCCATCACACACCCACACCCACACCCACACCCTCAAGAATATAATGAAGAATTGATTTCTTCATTATTTCTATTAAATAACATTTGAGAAAAAAATCATTGATGAATAAAATTTCTATATGATTAATTTTATTTATCATTTCAATTAAAAAAATATTCATTCGATATTATACAATATGAATAATATATTTTCATAAAGAAAACATTAATTAAACAATTATTGATTTGTTTTTTCAAAGAAAAATAATTTCAGATAGATTTCAACAAAAATTTTTAAAAGAAAAGGTGCAATTTCTCTTTATGTATCTATGTTGAGATATCCGATTATAAACAATACTTTTGTTTTCATTATTAAATCGATATTTTATTTGCCAAAAGATTTTCTTTTGTTGAGAGATTCTAACTTATTATTCATAATAATCATCATATAACAAAATATTCTCAAAGAGATAAGCTGTTTTTTGTTTTTTTCTCATCCTACGCAGTTTTGTGACGACATGTTTTGTAACTCCGTAGATAACTGCTTCGATAGAAGGTGTGAGCTATTAATATGTGATGGTTAATATTCGAATCAAAATCTTATTGCACCACATGTGAAAATTACACATCACGCGCATATATACCCTCTTTTTTTTCTTTTTCGTTCGCCATTTAGTATATAAGATTGCGTATATATTCTATAAAAACACACGCGTTATAACCATTTATTGATTCAAATAATCGACGAATATTTTCATCAAACGACTCTTGTTGTACGCAAAAAAAATCATCATGTTTCAATCGCGTTCTTTGGTAGTTTTGATACTTATTGTGCATATTGCTTATGCCAATGTGGTGACTTTTAAAAATTCGAAATTAAATAAAGTTTACAATGGTCTTCGTGTAGGTGGAAAAATGGAAGTTTGTGGAGATGCTACACTTCATGTCAGCTCTATCAACGACAGTCGGTGTCCCGCAAACGTAATGTGTTTTTGGGCTGGACAAGCGATGGTTCAATTACTTCTTTCCAATAAAGTAGAATCGACTACTATGGATATAATAGCTGGTGCAAGTGCTCAAGCGACATTGGGTACCAATGTGTACACTGTTACTCTTGATGATGTCATCCCATATCCCGGAATGAATAAAAATCCATCGGAAGCTATCGTTACAGTCACATGTTCGTAAGAGTTCAATGAAAGACGTAACATCTGTTGTCTTTTTTCGAATATATTAATAAATATAAACAATACTATGTGTATCTTATATATATATATATATATGACTATACATAGTTAAAAGCAAAACAGATCCCTTTGAAAAATCATTATTTAATGGTGGTATCAATATTGAGAAAAAATTTACATGTTTTATTTAATCAAGAAGATTTTTTTCTGTGCCCCTTATTTAGTTTAATTTTGTTTATATTTCTTAACTAGAGGGTGTGGGTGTGAGGGTGTGGATGCGAAATTATTAGAATATCCACACCGTCATTTAAACTCTAAAACTTGACATTTCATCCGTTCAATTTTTAGCACCATTATTAAGTATGAAAGATCTTTTACAATCTTTTGAAAGAAGTATCAAACTAATTTTATTGATTAAAAAAAATAATTAAACAAAACAATACAAAAAGCAAAAATTTGAAAGCACACAACATCGACTTTATTGTAACAACAAACATTCAGAATAAATAACGAATCTTAAATATATATAACTTACAATAACAAACAACATGACTAATCGTTATACATTAATTGTTGCTTGACCGCCCATTCGACCAACTTTTATACGAGCCACTGTTACCGTTTGCATAGGATCAACAGCATGTATTCTTCGCCAAAATAATGTTAGATTTCGGCATTTAGTTCTTAGTTCTGGTAGTGACATAGCACATGCAAATGGAGTGAGTAATACAATATAAAAACTAAAAAATAATGAATCATTGAAATAATCGCTTCCTATTGTCCTTGGTAGACCAACTGAATAAGCAGCATATAGTGACATAGGTGGCAACTGTAAGAAAATATAGAGACAAGATATTGGTAATAGTTGCAATGCCATTTTCTTATAGTTTCTCCAATCAATTCTTTGATGAATATGATACTTTTGATATAAGACGCGTACAAAAAGACCTCCACTAAATGTAACAGTAATAAATGCAGGTAAAATATAATGTGCAAGACTATCATATAATGCAACCATTGGAGAAAGACTAACGCATGAATAACGACCACATTGTCTGCTTGTGTATCTCAATGGTAAATTACAAGGTATAATGAAGAAGAAAACAAAATAAAATATCATAGGATATAAGATGCATAATATCATGGGTAAATAATGAAATAGAAGACGTTTTGTTCTTGTTGAAAAATGACCTGAATGGAAAATAAGAATATGACGCTCAATCGATGCCCAAGTAACTAAAATATAAACTGATACAATCGCTGTTGTATCAATATATATCCAAGCATAACAAAATGCTGGTGTTGGCAATAGACTAGTACCATTACGAAAAAAATATATATTCCACACAATACCTGTGATTTCTTCAACAAGTCCAACAGATAAAAGAAGAATAATGACATGATTATTGAGTGCTGTACGATATCCTCGATTCTTGAGTAAATGATAAAGGACAAAAATGGTAACTAGAATAGATGGAATGAGAGGTGCCAAAAGAATCCAGAAACGACTATATGCAGGTATTGCCATGTATAATATTGGGTCGTCTGTTAAATATTAGCTACAAAAAAGAGAAATAGAAAATAAATGTTCAAGTTATGTGAATTTCATTTTTTGAAATATATGCTGAATAAGACGAAAAAAGACATTTCGATATCTTTATTTCATCATCATCAGTCGACTAATATATTTAACAATATATTCAATAATAATAAAAACTCAGAATAATATACTTATATCACTACTATGTATTACTTTTTTTATTCACTAAACAGAGGCAAATATAAGCTTATCAGAAAATTCAACTTACTTAATGAGTATTTTCCAAAAACTAAATTTTCTCATAAAGAACACAATAACATTGCATCGCAAGTACATTTTTATTTTCTTCGGCACTTAATCTAAAAGTTCCTACCGTCTAATAAAATTTTGCTTCTAGTGATAAACTATGACAATATAATATTGTGTCCAATCTGCTTATGAAACGTGGCACTATATTTGATTAAGTTTAGAAATTTTTCTACATTTGCGCACATCATAATGAGATGTTGTATATAGTTCTTCATATTGATCATTAATCTAGCGTTTATCTAATAACAAAAAGAAACTCATACTTTTATGAAATATATCATTCTTGACAAAATCTTGTGTTTAGTTTTGATTTATGTAGTCAAAGATAATTTCTGAACTCTTAAAAATGTATCAACTTACTCTTGTTCGGACAAACTGTAATACTAATCTCTGTAATGATATGTATTAATAGATGGTTTCTTATTTCAATAAAATAAGAATTAAATATATGATGAAAACTCAAATATAAGAAGAATACAATAATTATGAAATAAATAAAAATGAAGAAAGAGACTCAATATAAACTATAATTTATAAAAGTAATACAAGCTAACAGTCATCTTTTGAATATAACCTGGAGTAATTCTAATAAATTTATTTATATAATAAAAACAGATTGACGTAGACATGTACTTCATTAGTACATGTCACTCAAAAGATGAATTAGCTTAATCTTGGATTCATGTTAACTATAAGAAAAATCTAGAGAGTAGATGTGCAATAATAAAAGATTTGAAAAGAGTACAATGCATAAGTTTGACAAGTTGAGTTGTTGATATTGAAAAATCTCTTTATGAGGAAAATTTTTGAATTGTACTTGATAAAATTTATTTAAAAAAATTCATCTTCAAAATGAGGATATAAAATGACAATGTCTCCTCTTTCCTCATACAATCTACAGCAAATGTTTAAATAAAAATTCATTTTTTCTATTACATTAAAGATATATTGATTTGATTGAAGTATTCATCTATCGATAATATGAACGACTTACCCGACTTATTAATTGTTTCATATTTCATACTTTGCTAAGGAAGAAATATGTGTTAAAATAAAAGCAAAATACATTAGTTAATAGAGAATTTCAAACTTTATTATAGTGAGAACTAGAGGAGATACCTATTGTTGCTATTCGGAAAATCTTTTCCTAGATCACACATGTGCAAGTTGTTCACATATCCATATTCACATTCTCTCAAAGGTCTCATGCACATCATCACTCACATCTCCATCCTTATTCTTCATTCATTAGATCATCTGTACACTGGTTTTTATTGTAATAAAAGAAAATGACACGAACAAAGTTCAGATGATGTCTCGAAAAAATTTATTTATGTGAAGAATTTTTAAACATTGATAACTGCCGTACGTTGAGTAAATACAAATGATATTCGATCGAAGATGTCGTCTAATTCGGATAAGTTTGTTAAGTCTAAAAATTTGCATCGATTTCCTCCTGATTGTTTCAATCGATTCATCGCTAGTCTTCCTTGAAAATCTAATCCAATGCCAATCAGTAACATATCTGTTTCAAAATCCTCACAGATCTGTTGGACACACTTGCATGCTTGAGCTAAATCATATTTTGTGGAACTGCAATCCTCGCCATCGGTAATCAAAATGATTTGATTTCGGTTGGAGTCACCAAGTAGTAAGCCTGCCAACTTATTTCGAAGCAAAATCTGAAAGGTTGAACCGATGGCATCGTATAGTGCGGTGCCAGAATTAAGATCATCTATATCCGGCTTTAGCGAAGGGAGAGCTAGAGCTAATTTGAATTTAGCAATATCAATTGACTAGCTATCCATGACTTCATAAACTTTGGCATTGAACGCTAAACACGTCAGACAGTCGTTTAACCCTAGCTGATCGACGATTTTGACGATACCACGTTGGGTTGCTGGCCAACGATTCTTGGAGGGATTGATTCGGTTATTCGCCTCGTAGCCAATCATTGATAGAGATACATCCACGACTAGCACGATGTTGTAACTATGAATGTCGAGGGAAACATCGATCTGTGGCTTTGAGGTAGTGGTCATGTTGGATGCTGGTCGATTCGAAAGAACATGGGAAGGTTGTTTGATCGGAGTTAATGCATGTGTATCGCGATGTCCTTTCTGATTAGGATTTGACTCAATACATTTCGAACATAAGTCATAATCGTCACATACAGAGCATTTGTATCGAACACCCACTATTGGATTACAACGACATACATCACATATGACATCGTGACTGGGCGTCTGATTCGTTGGTCTGTTAGCTGCTGTGGTAAATCTTGGTGTTGGTGTTGGTGGTGGTGGAGTGTAGAGACACTCTTTAAGGACGTCTTCGTATTCTTTTTGATCTGGTTCTAATTCACAACATTTGCGATAGTATGGAATTGCTTCATCCTTTCGATTCAACATTTCCAATGCTTTTCCTCTATAGAAATATCCTTTGGTCCATTTCGGATCGGATTGTATACTAGCGGTGGCATCTTTCAAAACTTTATCTGCATCGTTCAAACGATAATAACACAATGCACGATTCGTTAAGTAAGGGGCGTATTTGGGTACTTGCTCTAAAGCGTAACTGAACAACTCGACGGCTAAAGTGTAATTACCTTCTTTAAATGCAGATTTGGCTTGCCATTTTAGTTTTTCTGAGCTAGCTGTTGGTTTTGGCGTTGCACCACTCATAATCGTTTCTCAAGAGAATATCAAATGTAATTGATAGAAAATCATTAAAGCGGGTCTTTTTATACAGGGATAAAAGCATTCGTTGTTTTTTTCCAATTTATTTAACGTAGGTGGTCTTCCTTCTGACGTGGCGTGAGCAATTCTTCCTTTCTTTCACTTTTTTTCATGAGTCACCTTTTATGACGAGTATTTTGCTTGATAAAAATCTTGTTCTTTTTCTGTGTGCGACATAATGTACATGAAAATGTCAACTTAATGACTGATTGGAAAAAAAGGTATTACACTGTTGGTAAGTAATAAAACAAAAATATTTGTATGAAAGATGAATAACATCGATATCGATTTCTCTGAATAAGCGAATGTTTCATCATTATTAAGTAGTTTTTACAACCTATTTCGAATAGAAGATGATATCATAAATTGCAAGTGAGAACACTATCGCCGCAAGCTATGTCGTCGATGTTGCATCATCACCGTGCAAGTAACATTTCAATGAAAGATGATTGCTGGAGTCCGTTCTTTCTCTGCAGGGCTCATGGCGAATGAGGAATAAATCAAATCAAATTCTATTTTCACAAATTGTCATCATTAAAATAAATTTTTCGTATATTTATTTATATTTTCGTTGTATTATATGTTTTATTTTAACAAATGACTTTACCTATATAGTTAAACTAATCTGTGATTACGATGATTCTTTTATTGTATCAATTCGTTTAAAATAACATACACTATCAGTTGTGTTATTTAAAAATTCGTATTAATTATAAGAAATAATTAATTATTAAAATAAAAATTTATTTTTGTTGCTTTTTTATTTAAATTTAATTAATTAATTGATTAGCTTTGAATAATAAATAGAAAATAAATTTATTTTACAATGAATACATTAAATACCTATACTAATTCTTATTAGTCATCATATAATCTCATCTGATTGACAAATGTCAAGAAATATTTTGTTTTGATGAATAAAACAAATCTTTATCGATATTTTCACCGAGAAATTATAAAAAAATGCTATTTTCTTTCTTTAAATAATCTTATATATATATTAAAATAAGAATGTTAAATAATTTCTGTGGACGTGGGTATAACTAAGCTCCCATAACTAGTTTCACGTCAGCTATGGCGATTTTCAAATAACTTATTTATTCGAATTAAAAATTCAGAATAAATAACAAGTTACAATGTAATAAATACTACAAAGAATAAACGATATAGTAAAAATAAATAGAGTAGATGTGGGTAAGAGTGTACTGGCTCAGAACCAGGGGTAGGACAGTTCTATATTAGTTTCGATCTTAGAAACTGATCTGTTTTAAAACTGTTTTTTCTTAATATGAACTACAATACCTCTTAAAGAGATTTTATAATTCGTAAACAGATGTTACATTTGACCAGTTAAAAGAGAAATGTAATATTTGAATTATGATCCGATTTTAATATTGCACTATTAATAAAATTGTAAAATATTTTCTTTGTGAGATGTATTGATATGAAAATCTTAGAAAGTGACTTTTTGCTTCAATAATATCATCAAAATAACAGTGAAGCTTCATTTGTTATCTATGAATAAATGAGTTTTTCAAATAATGTAGATATTATATTATGTTGAAAAAAAATGCGAAAATATAATCTTTTTCTGTTAATCTCTCTATATAAATCAAAGTGGAAAAATATGGATTATTTATATTATTAAAAAAATCGTATTAAAAGGGAGTTTTTTTGTTTAATATTCTTAATGAACAAATTGTTTAACAAACCAAGCATATGAATAATAATTGCTTTTTGGTAGAAAAGTCCATTTTTGTACTGTTGTATTTAAATTCAGAGTAGAAATTCCTGTTGAATATGGCCAATCTGCTTGAAATGATGCATAATATATTTTTTGTTCAATATCAAATGCTGAAAGTTGCGTAGCAATAAGAATTGAATCATAAGATATTGTTCCAACAATTTGTCCAATTCCGCCTATTGTTCGATTTAAAATTCCCACAAGTGACATTATTTGATCAGTTTGATTAATATATACTGAATACATTGTAAATGTTTTATAATCAAAACGTATACTAATCGGAGCAAAATGAATAGGTGTTTGCCAACTAATACCACCACCATCACTTGAATTAACACCAATATATGTATAATGATTATCTTGTATAGCTATAAGAAAATATTTTCGACATATTGGACAATAACTTGATATATGAGTTGGTTTAGATTTTTGAATAGTTCCTAAAATTTGTTTGATATTTCCATTATTTGTATCAATTTCAACAATTTGTGTAAGATTTTCTTGATTAGTTTCAATATGTGCAAATAATTGTTTTTGAAAAATATCATATTGAAGAGATACAATATCATATTCAATTGTATTAAACATTCGCATAAGAAGTCCAGTTGTTGCATTAATAACACTTAAGATTGGTTTTCGATTTTCATTATTTGGAGCTGATATATAAATAACATCATTATTTGGATCATATGCTAATGGTAAAACAGGATATTTACTAAGTTTAGGATTTCCTACATCATTTATATTCAATGTATTAACTATATTAAATTGTCCATCAGTTACATTTATTGATCCATAATAAATATTTGTTTGATTTAAATCATAGAACAAACCATGAAGTGGACTTATTGAATCTTGTTTTGATATAACAATTAATATTGAGAAATATATTAAAGAATATATTTTCATCATTCTTATATTCAAACACAAAAAATGTTAAATAATGTGTTACAATGATGAATTCTTTCGTTTATCTTATCTTCTCAAGTATTACCTTTTTTTTTTCTTCAATTCTACTATGTTAACATGTTGAAAAGATTTGATAACAGATGAAATCTTTTTAAAATAGAGTTTATAAGATGATAGAAATGGTAATGTCGCAAAATCTAGAAAAACTCATTGGTATGGATGAAGCAAAATCAGCCTGACTTTTTGTTATTCAGCTCTCGCTGTGACTTTAATCAATGGCGCCATTACTATTAAACTAAATTAGCGGATAGTAGTGTGTCGTCTCTTCACCATCTCTTTAACAACTACTTGAGTAATGTTATAAAAAAAAGAACATCGTGTGTCTGATTAATAGACCGGCGGCGAATTGGTGTGGGTGAGGTTGTGAATGTCCCTTATTGATCTAAAGAGAATATCCAGACCCAGACTCACATTTATCTTCTCTCGTTTAATAACTTTTCTGCTTTTCCATTTGTTGGGAAATAAAAATAAATCTATTTATTGAAATTTTTTGCCTTTCTTTAGTATTTTGTGAGATTTTTATTTTTCTAGATTTTGCGCCATATTAATAGAAATGATTTCTTTTTCTCAAATTTTATATTTGCGAAAATAAGATCAGTCTGCTCTAACATTAATTTATTATGTAGAATAAATGGAGCTCTCATAAAATCTTGATTGTGGATAGAATTCGAGAGTGAAGATTAATCCTATAATTATCTTAAAAGTGCGAATGAAAAGAAGACTGATTAGTATTTACATTCACAATTCAAAGTACATTATATATAAATAAAATTTGGCTTTACAATAATTCAATGATAATTAATTCGTTTTTACCATTGAAGAGAATGTTGATTAATCAGAACTATATAGAATTACAACGAGACATGTAAAGAACTAGAGTGTGGATGCAGAGAAGATGAATCCTCATCCACATCCACACTTTCAAAAGAGCAATAAGTACAGTAATTTATGAGTTTTGAAAAAATGTTGCTATTACGGTTATGTTTAGTGTTAAACTAAGAACAAAAATACGTTTAGATATTAGCGGCGATCGGAGGTAAACAAAAAGCTGAACTGTCGACAACACCTACATCAATATCTCAAGAATACTATCGAACAGTAGCAATAGGTACAGTTTGTCTTGCATCACGATTGAAAGTAACTACATTAATGACATTCCTTCGTCGAAATCCAATAAAATCCATGATTTTCTTCATTAATTCAGGCAACGCACTTAGACATATCATTGGCAACAAAAGTGGGATAAAATAAATAACGAATTGCATTGTTGTTAACTGATCCATCATAAATGTAGGCATTGTAGTCATCTGAATCAATTGCGTTATTGTAGTAGGTAACCAAAATCCTATATAAAGCGATGAGACAATCCATAGTTGCAAAACCATTTTACGATGACGTCTCCAATTTACTGCTTGTCTTCGAGATAAAACTCGAATAACTAATGTCAGATTTGCAGTCATGATAATTATGATCGGAAAGACAATATCGAAAATAAAATCAAATTGAACAAGAATATTTATTGTGAAATAACATGGAATACCACAAGTAATAAGACTGTAATCCCATACGTTAGTACACTGTAGGTTAATTACAACTACCACAAAGAAAAATAATGGTGCCCAAATCAGACAAAAAATAGGCATTAGAAAATGAAATATCCGTTTTCTCCATGATGCTTGAAGCATTGCATGTGGATGAAAAATAATTATATGTCGTTCAATTGATATCCATGCCATTAAAAATAAACTGATAGAATTCACTGAAAACTCACACCATATCCACCATGTACAATATGTATTCGATGTTAGCCAAACAGTTTCTAAATAATAATAACTCATTGGCATTGGTAAATCAAGAATTAATTGAAAGAAATTCGTAATAAGTAAAATAAGCCATCCATGATTTTTTTGTTTTGAACGAGCTTGACGATTCAGAAGAAAATAACAAAAAATCACAAAATCACAATTGATAAAACAATTGCAAAAATGTCGAAAATCAGCATTATTAAAAATTTAATCGGAGAATACATAATGAAGAGAATAAATCAAAGTATTGTAAACACGTTGTATTGTGAGAGAAAATCAAGTACAAGGATTGACGAGGTATTCATCATTTATATAAGAGTTTTTTATGTGTTAGCAGGGTTTGTCAAGCTTAAAAATGCAATCTTTATAATAGTTTTATCAGAAAATTAGTTTCACATGAACTCTGACTGTGAATATTCTTGTCTCAATTATTTTCAGATTATTTTTAATCATGATGTTCTCATAAGAGAGAAAAGAAAAGAGATTCGTACTAGTAGTTCAAGATAAAAAGGATATTGAATAATTAACAAAGTCAAAAATTTGTAAAGAATTCTTAGATAATTTCAATTTCTTGTAATTGAGACATGACGCTTGATAAGAAAAAAAAAGAAATTCTTGTCTCAACTCCAAGACAAACATTATGTGATGTCTTTGTGTGCTTTTAAGCAGGAACGAATTATGTTTATTGTATTCAATTTAATGAATAAACTATCGAATTATATTAGGGTGTCTAATTGTAGCTAGTTTTGGAATTTTTAAATGATAATTTGAACAAAAATCAAGAAAGAGGAGAGGCAAGATTGTCAAATCTTTCGTAAAAAATCATATTTGTCAGTTTCATTTCACAAATTCATATTATAATATCACTTGTACTGTTAATATATCATCTTCTACAACTGATTAATAAATAATGTTCATAGGTACTTTCAGCTAATTACAGTCTGTACATACTTCGTTTCTTCTACAAATATACTTTAACATATTAGCGCAGAGAGGATGATCTTATTTGAAATGTAAAAATAAATGTCTTATAATACTTTCATCTATTTTATGAATAGATAAGCAGTTTTATGGCGTTGCTTAGAAGAATTATCCCAATAGCATCAAGGTAAGCCGATTTATCTGAAAGAAAATATTCATGTTCATTAAATGAGAATGAACTTTGAAATGAATCATTTTTTTCTTATACTTTCTTCTTTTTATATAATTATAACGAATATACAAATGATACAAACTGAATGTATTGAGAAATAATTCAAAACGAAGTTCGATATTTAAATGAGCAAAATTACAAAATGTTAACATCCATCTACTAATTTTAGAAATGTTTTATATGAATAAAGCATAGGTGAAGACAGTAGTCGGAAATCAATGGATTGACAAATACACATAAGTAAGGATTCAGTTATACCACAGGATCTTGACTATCAGAGAGATGAAAACGAATAATTCTATTCGTGATAGATGGAAAGTTTTGTTTGTATATCACACCGAATTTCTGCATTCATATAAATAGCATGAAATCTATAAAGAAAATCAATACCATTTGATCGATGTAGATGTAGAAGAAGCCTCGTAGAAAGCTCATACTTTCTTGCAGTATATTTTGGTTTTTAATATATGCTATTTATCGATTGCAAAATATGAGATACAAAAATAGCAGACATCCATTATGAATCACTTGTTATCATTTATCTTAATAATTAATATAATTAAAAAAATCATAAATAAATTATGGTCAAAAATCAAAGAAATATAATCTCAGTTCATATACAAAATCATATCGAGGTTGATGCCATTTCACATCCTACTGCAACTGATTGTAGTACACCTGCTACACCTGATGCCGTAGCAGCAAAAATCATTACAGCCAAACCATAATCTAATTTAAGTTGTGGCGTTGTCTCTGGTGTAGTATGAAAAAGAACAATCAAGT